GTCCTCAAAGAGTTAAATGTGACTGATTTCGTAGTAACAAAATGAGACCGTTTTTTATAGTTTCTAATGAAAATCCACTGGAAAATATATGAAAAACGCGTTTAAACATGTTAAAACGGTAAAACTGCTATTTTAACGCGTTTAAACGTCATTATAACCGGTTTTTGTTTCTCTGAGTTTACCATCAAAATTTTTAGTTTTCTCCCTGAATAATCTCTTCTTTGTCAACTTTCGGTTGATGAAGATACCATGAGGCTCATTCTCTGATCAGTGAACTAAAAATGGATGGCATAACAATGTTTTTTTTTTCATTCATAGTAAAATAGATTTCAACCGTTTAAACCATTCACATTGATCGATCCAATCCAGTAGTGTGGATGTGGATGTGGATGTAGGATGTGAGTGTGAGTATGGGTGGCTGTGGCATATGAGGTGTGAGTGTGCGGAGTGAGTGTATGTGAGGGTATGTGGGTTCGTATCCTCTATTCACCCATGTCCACACGCTTAGTCCACACGCACCCTCACACACTCACGTCAACACGCACCCGCACACACAGCCACGTCCGCACGCACATCGACACCCACGCCCACAGATACAGGCATCCCTACCCACACCGATCCACACCTATACCGATCCTTAGCCGTGACTGATGTGAAATGACTATTATAGACTGGTCTTTCTTGCAGTGATGGCGGACACAATGTTTCTTCACAGTCCGACGTCATCTCTGTTCGTTCACCAATAAATCGAAAGTTTATTGGTATTGGTGTACTCATTATTATCGCGATCAGTCTTCTGACAGCTCTCATTGTCCCTTTGGCGGTATTACTACCTAAAGCACAAATATCAAACACGGTAGATGCAACAACAGCCACTTCCTCAACGACATTCATGTCCATAACTACTACACTCACAATGGCGACATGTAAGCGAAGCATGAACGAATCGTTACGCAATGGGATGGAGATAACGTCCTTCTCGAAATCCATACATAAGTTTTTTTTTGCACGGATATACAGTCAGATAATAGCAGAAGGAATCACCTCACCAGTGATTTTATAATATCTCGTTCGCTCGAGATTCCGACATCCAAGATCTTGCCTACACGGGCTTCTATTTTTTTTTGCCCTAGTCGTCCATGTTTTCAGAAATGTTACAACAGCTCCGTAAAAATGTCTCAGCGAGAAAGATACTTCCCAAGGTCTGAGACAGGAAGGTATGTACCCTAATACTTCGTGATCCGGTCACACGAAAAGAATAGTGATGTGAGGTAAGTTTCACAATTTTGCACTAGTACTTGAAAAGGTATAGAACTCCCAAGTTTGCAGAATTTTAAAAAGTCTGAGATCATAGTAAGGTAATTTAGATACGCTTTGACGGCACATCCCTTTACGTGATCCCCAAAACTCAATCTTTTCGATTTCAATTTTTCGTCACTCACACAGCCCCGAAGTGTTCTCTATCAAATACAGTAAAAATGAGAGATCTTCATTATTAGTTCATATTGTTATTCAAGCTCGCCTTTAAGACCCTGTCACAGAAAAAAACACTAGCTGTTTGATCATATAGCAAAGCTCCTCGTAACAACTGTGGTTTCGCGTTTCAACCATGCTTCGAGGATCATCCATTGATTCCTCGCACTGCTCAGCATAGCCAACCGTTGGTCTGTTTTGTTAAATAAATACCTTGATATTTATGGAATAATGGTGCCACAATGTGTTTGTGCTTGTCACGAAATCAAGTTTTATTCGAGAAAAGCTGTTAGAGTAATCGCAGAGGAATTAAAATGTGAAACACAATGAAACCGCTTTAACTATATGCTCAAGAAACCAAACAATATTGACCCCGAGTGGGTTGTACACTCAAGGCTAGAGCGTTGAACATGCCTCGGAATTATGGCATACGCAGCTGGAAACCGCTTTAACTATTACAAACTGCGATAGACGCTTTGACGCATCTATCATGATCTGTTTGGGAAGGATGGGTCCAAACTCGCTATATCCTATAGCGCTCATTATATCATTCATGTTTCACACACCATGAAGCTACATAATTCATATTCATCCATGCATATCTACTTATTCACCATCGAATATGTCATAGTGACCATGATGGACAAATAAAACATTTGCAAAAATCGAGAGAACGCTCACAAACATTTTCTTTCCCGTTTTGGAGCAAGACAAAAATAAAAGGCTTTTGAGCAGAGTCCCCAATTCAGTTAAAATGTGGAACTCATACACCCACTCTAAAGACGAGAGAACATTTCAAAGATGAAGAAATCCCTTTAGTAAACAAGAATCGATCAAAACGAATGCTTCTCGGTCTAGCTTCTGTGAGCATGGGTGTGGATCTACTTTACATCCACGCCTACTCTCCACACCTATCGACTAGATGCGATATCGACAAGACCTATCCGATAATCTGGACCATAAATAATTTTACGATAAAAGTGCTACTAGCTTTTGTCATTAAAAGAGATGCGAATCAAAAACTTCCTACTAGCAGAACGAATATATGGTCTTTTTCAAGCAGCTGCAGAAGTAGTTGGTGAATTTTAAGATTGGGCTATTATCGATCAGCCATCTTGTTATGAGTGTGACATGAAGAAACATGTTCTGTCTATGGCAGAGGAAAAAAAACAACGTTCGTCCAGATTTCTTAGACTGTACGACAGGAATGAATGGCCATGTCCCGTGGTATACGATAATCGTATGCTGTGATCGTGTGAGATCATCCCATTTTTTCATATTTCAAATTATACAGTCGTCTATAGACCTCAATTTTTCAACTGGCATTGTGAATCACATTGCTGGAAACATGCTTGGATTGGAAAACGAATCTTTTTAAGGCATTTCCAGTAAACGATCATTGTTTTCGCATATTACTTTGTGGGACTCGCATATATTTTCAAAGAAAATAGTGAGTGTAAGTTTTAATCGAGATTTTTACGGCTTCCTTCCTCCTCCTATTACAGATCTTAGCAACCGACGTTAACGGGGCTGAACAGCATTCATAACAAGGTTTAGGAGGTTCTAGAACACTCCAGAATCTTTCTTGAAATTTAAATGCCTGGAATTCGTTTTTCAATATCCCAAATAACACAATTTCCGATTTTTGCGTGGATAAATGATTATATGATAGATATCAAGGATGATGTTTTGGTTTGCCATAACTGTCATATGCTCACCACAAAACCATGAACTGATTAAGTTCTAAGTTTCGAGGATAATCAATGTCAGCCCTTCTGAGTTCATCGATATCTATAATAAATCGTTAAGATCTGTTGTATATATAATGAATGTGTACAACAAACTTCTTTGTCCACTAAATCAATCGTCAAACTAATAATAATCAATTGTGAAAATGAAATAAAAAGAAAGAAAATAAATATCAAGCGAATAACAGCAAGACACAAAAAAAAGTACCAGCCCAAAAAAAAGAAAAAAAATATCTGTTTGAAATGCAAAACTAGAAAAAGATAGAGCATTTGCTGACAATCGAATATCATTGGAAAGGAATTGTTGTCTTTTATAGATTCTTCAATTTGTGCATGTTGTATTAGTATAATGAAGCCACAGAAGTTGTGAGTTCCACAGTTTAGCGCCGAAAGGGATTGCACTGATAAATTTTTCCATTATAACCATGTAGTACACTGGAGCAAGCCAAAAAAAGTGCGTCTGACATACTAAAAAAAAACATACACGGGGAGGAGCAGATATTTCAAGCTAGTATCGCTTTCTTCAGTTGCTTACACAGAAAAATTGTCGTCCTTTCCAGTTTACCAGCGCAAATTTCAGAGTGCCCATTTGCCAATAAGAACCAGCCAGCAAGAGAGATAGTCTCGCCGCCATCTCATTTATTCTTTCAATGTTGACAGCGTCAATACCCAGCAACAATTATACGTGTCAGTGCTCCTGCGTTGGCTCGGGCGTTACGTATTTGGGAACTACCACGACCTTCACATGTACTCTTGCAAGCTGCACATCTGCTTGTACAAGCAGGTTCACATGTACCATAGGCGTTACCATCATTGCCGGGTAAGTCATTATCTACATAGATGACATTTTGAGAACAGCCACTATCTACTTTTTCTTCAGTGTCTGCAACCAAAGTCCCATTCAATCTTTAAACGACATACTCACTCAGCTCTAGCCAATGCTCATCCTTGTAGTTTTATCGATTCTACCTCTGACAAAAATACTATGAAAAAAACTTCAATTTTTTTCAAATTTTTACAAATCACGAAACTTCTGATGCACATTAGGGTATGGATGTAGTGTCGAGTGGGCATTTTCTCTCTACTCACACTCACACACCCACACCCACAATAAAGAACGTAAATAAAAGCGAGCAACTGGTTGATTTTAATGACCAATGGTTCATGCTATCTTACGGCGCAAAAAAAAGGGCGCTGATGAACGTAATCTAGAAAAGCCAAAGCCTGATAAGTAAAACAAAATTATTATTTAACAATTTAATTAATAAAAAACACGGTAATTCGTATCGTTCTCAAATCTGCAGGTATTTAGCCGTAAGCCAAAGAGATCTATAACTGGATTCGCTGAAACAACAAAGACACATTTGTGTCTATGCGAGGGGTGGTGTGGGTGTCGATGTGGGTGTGTGGGTGTGGATGTGGGTGTGGGTGTGGGGGGGGGTGGGTGTGGGGGGCTGGGTGTGGGTGTGAGTATGCTCCTCTACTAACATCAACAGTGACACCCACACCCACACCCAGCATAGAACATATATTATTGATACATTGAATAGGTGGTGCCAAAACAATAAATCAAAATTTAATTTATCACAATTATCTTTAATTGAAGGTCAACATTATTTTATGTCGCTATTTAATGATCCAGGTGATGCATTAAAATGTGACATAAAGTGCTGCTGCGAAAAATGGTCGTCATTAACATTAAGACGTGGAAAATTTTAACTGTCGAATTTATATCGTCATCTTCAAAATTTAAATAATGTATGTCCTGAATTGCAAAAAATGATAAATAATTGTCAATTACCATTATCATCATCAGCAAATACTCAACAATCATTGACAACATCAGATAATGTACCTCAGCAAGTCGCATCATCAAATCTTATACCTATTATAGCACCATCAGATACAACTCAATCAAATTCAACTTTATCCCCAGCATGTTCTAACTCAATATCAACAGATAATGATGAAAGCATTATGCAACAATCATCATCATTAAAAACTAAAAGACAAGTGAAAAGAAAAGTTCAAACAACAGAATCTTCGAATAGCACAAGAGAATCAGCAAAAAGAATTAGAAGAAGATAATTTTTACATGCTGAACATTTTCTTGTTTGTACTTCTCCGATTACTTTTTTAGTGTTCTTTTGTATAGTTAGACTTTATATGAAATTGATGTTTTTTTATCTTAGTAATTCACTTATTGTTTTCTTGTATAGTTAAACTTTATTATTAAGTATTGGATTTTTATGTTCGTCTTTTTTATTGTTTTTACATTTTATAGTTGATTTTTTCAACAAATACATAAGATATTAATAGTAACAAAAACATCTTTTCTTGAACAAACAGTTATTGAATGAATCCTGTAGCCTCTGCAAAAATTCAGGCGTTTTTATTACTGGCATCATATTTTTTCTTTATTTTCAATAGTCCATTGAGGAAATGGAAAGCACCATATTTTAATAATACTAAGGACTGCATACAAGAGTGGAGTCATGGAGTCTGCTGTTTCCCCGTTGGAATAACTCGAGATCAATTGAAGATGGAAGTAATTATCGAAATTTTTAGTTTTGTGTGTGTTTTTTATAAATATAGACATTAAATATTACGCACTTAGAAATAAAGAATCATTTACTTTCTCTAAAATACATTTTGCTTTCCTTTCGAAATATTTTTTGAAGGTATACACGTATTTTTTTAATCTTATGTGCAATATTTACCATGCGTGAATTACTCATGCATATGGTTGCGTTTGTACATTTCAAAGTATGCAATTTTCTGTATGATAGTTATACAGACTTGTTTGCATTCGAGCGTGTCATGAAAAGAAAAGAAGGAAAAAACCAACGACATAACAACGGAGAGAAAGCGTAAAAAATACTTTACTGCAAAGGTAAACAAAAAACTAATAAAAAAAAGAATACGTTACGTGTTTCATACCCACTACGAAGCTTTATCAACAAACCAGTAAGTCAACGTCTTTTTTTCATCTATTTGATATTGTTTGCTTTATTGCGTTATGTAACTTCATTAGAATGATTCCGAAAATAGAAGAAAGTCTAGTAGGTGATGCACACATCACATTCGTATAATCAACGCATGAAACACGACTGCGACAAATATGAAATCGATCTTAAAGATCAAATTCTTTTGGACAGTCAGTTGATATTTCTTTTAATTATTGCTCTCCTTAATTCATTTTGTTGTCTGTATTTTACACTTATTATTTCGATTAGGGTGTGGGTGAGTATGTAGGCGTGGATGGAGAAGTAGAAAGACTTCTCATCCACACTGATATCAACACCAATAAACTATCACTCCGCACTATCATCAATATGTAATTAAACGGAAAAAATTTCGGTAGAAAATTTTTTAAATGTT